AGGACCCGGCACTTGGCCTTGTTGAAGCTGAGTTTGTGCATTACTCCACGGTGAACAGGTGTCTGAACTGACTCCAGGCTAATTACATCTGGACACATTATTTTTGAATGCAGTTTCTGAAAATAACATTTTTCCCTTGTGTGTTATGGGATAATTAACTTGGGAGAGTGGTGTGCTGGACCATCTGCCATGGAACCGAATTACGAAGAGCAATTTCAACAGGCTAACTAATCCTGGATACTTCCTTATGCTTCAAAAAAATCAATAAGAAATTTTTAAATTAGCATGGTCTCTAGGCTTTGCAATGCCAGACCATAGAAGGAAGAGCAGGCTTTGTAACCACAAGAATTACAAACTTAACTTGAAAAAACACCGTATCATTGTCCTTCTCAATTGCATGGCTTTGCAAATATCTTCAAATGACACTGAACCCAACTGCTGGATTTAGCTTAGTGAAAGAGAAAAACCTTTATAGAGGACTAATTGAAATAATTTTTCTTTAAAATAATTGAGATAGTTCTTAGTCTTCATAGAGGATTGATTTTATTTACAAATGCTGCGATATTTGAACCAGTAACCTTTGAAGTTCTAGTGCATGAGAAGTGATAAATCGTGCTGCTCAAAGTAATTTTGAATGCAACGTAAATACACTGGCAAAGTGAAATAAAGTTTTCAAGACAAGTCTATACAACAACGGAAGATGACTGGGCTTGGCATTTAAGTCTTTCCTTAGAGTTGTGTGTTCTGAGTGTACTCCCTGCTGGTATTCAGGCACTTTCATGTCACATTTGGAGAAGTGAGTGGTTCTGTCACCATTATGGCTTAACCCTGGGGCTGAAATGAATATATGCACTTCAAGGGTAGTCGTCTGCACGGAGTGCACAGAAGAGAAAGTGAAAGGAAGGGCTGTTTATTTTGGTAGGCAATAAAAATGTAAATGAGATTCGCCTTCTCCGATCTAAACAAAAATATTTTCTTTGCATATTTTGTGTTTTATTTCCTAATTAAAAATAGGAATAATGTTCTTGGAAGTGCAATTTAGAAAAATAATTGCTTTTTCAGGCTTTCGTAAATTAGAAACTTTACTGAAAACTCGATTACATGCAGTTCATAAAATTAAAACCAACATAAGAGTGCTTTCCTGTCTGTAGTAGATTGCTTTGATTTGTGGAATACAGGAAAGCAGTCTAATGCCCGGATATGTAATTTCAGTGTTGACAGCTATTGGAGGCACTGCGGATGGTGAACCTTGCCTCTTCCCGTTTCTGTTTATGGAGAAGGAGTATGCAGAGTGCACTGCAGATGGGAGGGAAGACGGCAGGCTTTGGTGTGCAACAACCTACGATTACAAGAAAGATCAGAAGTGGGGCTTCTGTGAAAGTGAGTAACCTGATGTCGTCGTCTTGTCCAAGGAATGCTTGCTTAACCTCGAGTTTTCAGGCCTCTGAATGCTCTTTACTTCAGTATCTAGAAGTTCCTCTCATATATTAATGGCCATTTTTATACTGTGATACACCAGTATTTGTAAAGGTAAATGTCTCATGTTGGGAAAAAATTATAATGCAAAAAAAATTATAATTCTAAAGTTATTGGTGAAATCTTGCAGTGGAGGCATCTATAAAATATATTAATGGCCATTTTTATACTGTGATACACCAGTATTTGTAAAGGTAAATGTCTCATGTTGGGAAAAAATTATAATGCAAAAAAATTATAATTCCAAAGTTGTTGGTGAAATCTTGCAGTGGAGGCGTCTATAAAACTCCTACTTTCTGAGGCTGTGGGAATATAGGGGGTGGCAGTGTTTCCCATGATACTTGCTGATTTGGTGCACAAAGGCAACCCTTCTCTCTAAACATCCTTCTGAAGGAGGAACCTTTCTTCCTTGCACAGCTTGTTTTTGGAGCAATGAAAAGAATATTTTAACAGCAAACTTGTGCATGAGAAGAAAATGTCACTAAGATACCCAGCATTTCCTTTAGACAGCTTTTTGTAATCACTTTGGTTGTTTATTGGTCTTCAGAAACGTATTTCTGGCTGTATTTTCCCTTTAGAACCAGGAGGAATTTTGAGAGAAGAGTTGAGCTGTGTAATTGAAACTCTAACTGTATAATTGTTTTGGTTTTTAGCTGAAGAGCAGTCTAATAAGAGAAGGCAGATGCAAGAAGCTGAGGATGTTTATCAGACTGGAATGAAAATCCTTAATGAAAGCAGTAAAAAGGCTCAGAAGAAAGAGTAAGTCTACCTCCTCCACCCCCATGGGAGGGTGATGACATGGCTGGTCACTTAGGCTTAACTGAAAAAGAACTTAAATGAGATGCCCTGGGACTTTGCACTTCATTTTCATCGAAAATATGCGCTGATAGTACTGAAAATAAATAGTAATTTCAGGGTATTTAGAAAAAACAAATCGAGGCCTGCCTTCCTCTGAATCCACTAAAAATTGTATGAAATTAATTTCTAAAGAGTGGATCTCGCCAGAACATTTGACTTAATACAAGATGGTGCTGTAGTTCTGTAGCCACAATTTGTATGTGGCAACTGCCCAGAAAAAGAATGAGAACGTGATACAAGATAATTGTCCTTTTTCAAATGTTTCTTACAGTATGGTTCTCGTTCTGCTTCAAAGAGTAAGTAGGAAAAAACCAGCATCTCTTGAGCTGCTCTGGTTTTGTTCCTGCTTTCTGATAGTTTTGGTCACCATAAAAATAGTATTAAATGAAATCTCAACAAATTGTTAAAACTCTCATCATTGAGAGGAAAGGGTAATGCTTGTAGACTGGAAAACAAAAAAGAAATGAGAGTTCCGTTCTGGTCTGTTTACTTCCTACTCTGGATATATCCAATTACTGATTAAATAGTTACCACTACAATTAAGAACAGCTATGTTAATATAGAACTCCTTGGTACTCATGTTGACAACTTCATCAGCAAGTGGTAACTTCAGGCTGCTGATTATTATGTGAGCACAGTTACCATGTTACACTTGCTCATGGAGATAAGGGAGTGCATTTCTACTTCATGTATCGGGGAAACTGAAGCACGGCTGGGGGGTGTCCATCACACCTTGGCAAAGACAAAGGGAGACAGTATCTGTTATACTGAAGAACGCTAACCAGAGTATAGAATAGTGTAGGAATTGTCAACCAGTATTAGATCTTAGTTCTCTTGAACACCTTCCATTTTCGTAAAGATGAAATTATGTGAGGAACCGGATGTGCCTCAGCCTGTCCTAAGCAGAGAAAACAAATCTGAGAACAGAAAGGAGAAGAGGTAAAGAGCAATCTAGGAACGCTGTCCAAGGCCTATGAGAAATCAAGCTGGAGCATGCTTGGCAGTACTGTGTTAGGATGTTTAATGTTAGCTTTTCAAACTGCTGTGAAATTACTTTGGGGGACTGCTGTAAGTTCTGAGGCTGAAATAGGAAGTGGAGTTTCCAGAGATCTTTCTCACTGTTAGCACAACTGTTTCATCTCAAAATTGATTGTGTATGCCGTTGTCTTGAACCCAGCACGTAGCATTTTCATTGGAATGGTCCAGTACTCGACAAATCAAATTAATTCCATAGTCTCTTTCAGGCTGCTTTTTTTCTGTCATGATCTGTGAAGCTGTCAGGGGAGTGATCCTGCTGGATACCTAGTACAGGACTTAAAATTGTTGCCACAGAAACTTGATCATTTGACATTAAACTTTTTGGAGTGGAGCATCTCCCTTATGAGGAACGGCTGAGGGAGCTGGGGCTCTTTAGTTTGCAGAAGAGGAGACTGAGGGGAGACCTCATTCATGTTTATAAATATTTAAAGGGCGAGTGTCACGAGGATGGAGCCAGGCTCTTCTCGGTGACAAACAATGATAGGACAAGGGGTAACGGACACAAACTGGAACACAGGAGGTTCCACTTCAATTGGAGAAGAAACTTCTTCTCAGTGAGGGTGACAGAGCACTGGCCCAGGCTGCCCAGAGAGGTTGTGGAGTCTCCTTCTCTGCAGACATTCAAAACCCGCCTGGACGCCTTCCTGTGCAACCTCATCTGGGTGTTCCTGCTCCGGCAGGGGGATTGGACTGGATGAGCTTTGGAGGTCCCTTCCAATCCCTAACGTTCTGTGATTCTGGATAACTTACAGGAAATGCAGGAGGAAATGCATAGTGCTCTGCATATGGAGTAGAGTGAACATTAAAATCCAGTGAGTCTGTTAGCTAAATCCTGTGAGTTGTTGCATAGATTGACACTTCAGAGCTGGAACAAATGACTGAAGGTAGATGCATTTGTAGAAAACAGAGGCTAATCAGAGGAACAAAACACCTCCCCAGAACCTGCAGGTCTATGAATGAAATGTGCTTCTTTGCCTCAAGTTGACTAAGAAATGGTTTTCTTTTAAGAGCATATCAATATCTTCTGAAAGCAGCTGACATGAATCATACCAAGGCAATGGAGAAAGTGTCTTATGCTCTGTTGTTTGGGGATTACTTGAAGCAGAACATCCAGTCATCAAAAGAGCTATTTGAAAAGCTAACAGAAGAAGGTTCTCCTAAAGGACAAATGGTATGTACGTCCTGAGATTCTACAGAAGTTTTTATAGGTTTATGAATCATTGTGTAGATTGTACTTGTTCTAAGGCGGTTATATAGATTGTTCTTGCATCCAGAATAGAATGAGAACAGTAAGTGGTATCTGTTGCCTGGTTGAAAAAGACAGCAGAGTGCTGCTTTTTTAAATGGTTTGAAAACTTGGCGTAAAACATTTGGTTCAGGCTCTGATTCAGGAAATGTATTTTATTAATGCTTGCCTTAGCATTTCTGTATCCTGAATACGCATTGCCTTTACCTTTTTAAATTACACCAGTGCCCTGCTTTAGTTCAAAGCTGCTGCTTTACCTGGCCTCTGCATGCTGCTAGCATCACTGAGGGTGCAGTAACAAATGGCACATGCATCCTCAAGGTAAACAAGGTCTTTGAGTTTAAAAACCAGCATTAAACTACCAGTAATATTGTCAGGTGGTGGTCTTTTCATTTAGTTTCTTGCCTGTTGTATGACTGGCCAGATTGGATGCGTAAGTCAAAAAACTGGTAGGTACGGGTAACTCCAGCCAACAAATCTTCTCTGAAAGTGTGTTACTTTATTCTTGAGGTTTGTGTGGGACGTTGTGGCTTTTCATCTGCAGTTTTGTCTTTGAGATAGGCAGATGTACACACACAGGTTCATAATCTGGGAAGTTACAAACTCCCAGCAATTTTGAACGCTTTTTAGTGCAAAGGGATTCATTTTGTCTATGTGCCTTTGAACGTGATAGTATTGTTCATATGTAATAGCTTACATGTAATGTTATAAAATGTGGTTGTTCTCTATTTTAATGTCTCAATACTGAGATGCGTATTACTTACTGCTTACTTCTCTGTTTAGTTTTGGAAGTGTCAGCTTCTTTAGGAATCAGCCAATTTCTTTTAGCTCTTTGGCTATCAAGTCTCCTGCTGCTCCCTATCCAATGTTGGCTTCCTGATTTGCCGCAGATAACAGGAACATGTTTTCTCTAGAGACTTTGTCTCAGTTAAGACCTTGACTTTTATTGGTTTAGAATTCAATACTGTCTGCAGGAGGTGATTTTTTTGTGTGTGCGTGCTTTCAGAATTGCCTAGAATAGCGTTAGAACACTGTGAAATATAGACACTATTTTATATATACATATACACACTGTTATCTTCTGCGCCACTAGTTTCTCCTCTGAGCCACACAGCTGTGACAGGTGTTAGAGGAGTAATTATGTAAATTTTAAGAATAAAAATAACTTTTGAAAAAACTCTGCCAAACAGCTCTGTGCATGCTAACTGCTTGTATTTAGAGTCATAAATGAAACTAACCCAGAACAGATGCAAAACAGTGAATTCATAGGATCTGTGAGGCAGTAAATGAAATGGTAAGCCTCTTCCAGAGAAGGCTGTGGTTCATGTGTGTTTGCACAGGGGTATGAGACAAGAGATGTGTGACCTGACAGATACTGCTGATCTTCACTTGAGGGTATTTAAACTGGGATACTTTTAATGTTTAGGACCTTTGGATCTACATTTGGCATTCAGGGAAGTAGTAGCTTCTTCCTTGCATTTGATCCAGTAGGCTGGATTCTGGTGAAATGTATTTATGTTGGTGTCCTAGGCAATAGAATAATTTAGAAACTTGGCATTTTAAAAAGGGGCATGGAATATTCTTTGCAGCTTTAAATTGTCGTTTGACTTTCTTGTACTTCTGTATTCCAGAAAAACTGATCCTGGATTTCTCAAAGGATGTACTGACAGACTATATTTTATTTCTAGGCTCTCGGATTTCTCTATGCATCTGGTCTAGGAGTCAATTCTAGTCAAGCTAAGGTAACTTATAAATCTTAAGTGCGTGTTTTTGTATTTCATCTTGGAGACAGATGTTAAATAACCAATTATTTTGTTTTAAGGCCCTGGTGTATTACACTTTTGGAGCTTTAGGAGGAAATCTGATTGCCCATATGATCTTGGTAAGTATGACAGTAACTAATTTTACACATGCAAGATCACTTTTGTATTTTTAAATTCTTAATGCAAGCTTTGCATTCATGTGAATACACTGTCCAAATATTAGAGCATCCCGCATGCATTGTGTGGGCAGCATCTTCTCTGTTATTCCTTGTTAATATAAGGGAAAATCTGCCCATTTTAAGCTGTATAGCATTGTAGACACGGTCCATCTAAATTCATATCTCTTTTCATAAAGCAGAAGTGCCAGACTTTTAATTTTCATAGGCTAATGAGAACGGTGAAAGCCAAAGATCTTTACACAATAAGCTGTTTTAATCAGTATTGTGAGATTTAAGACAAATACAGGCAAAATGTGTAAGTAAAAGGCTTTAGGTTTTCACCCATAAGTACGATTCTGCTTATGTGCTTTTTCCTGAGCAATATCTGAAATACACTGGCTACATTTAACCTTTAATGGTATCAGTCAGTTGCTTTTAGTCCAGACACAATGGACTTGTGGTGTTTGTTTTGCCTCTAGTGTCATCAAATCTCGCTCAAGTAATGTCAAAAAAGTTTACCTGGCAAGCAATATGTTGTCAAATAACCTATAGTCTCATATGTTTGTCTTTTCCTTTCTAGGGTTACCGGTACTGGGCTGGAATAGGAGTCCTTCAAAGCTGTGAATCTGCTCTCACTCACTACCGACTTGTAGCTAATCACGGTAAAATCTTTTGACTAGACTGTTCTTGACTTCCTATGTATTTCTGTATCATTCACCTAGAAGATACTAGAAGAACTCTCAACACTAATAGTATAGAAATAGAGAATTCCTGCTATTAAACAAGTTATCTGTTTGGTTCTGAATCATGCTGTGCTATTTTTATCTCTTATCTATTGAAGTGTCTTTAATTCTTAGTGTCAAAGTAATTCATTCTTTCTGAGTAACAGCCTGAAGCCCTGTAGAGATCTGGTTTTACTAAGTTGCAGTCTAATACTTCTATTGATCAAAACTGTCTCAAAACTTATCTTACCTGTTTTCCAGTTGCCAGTGACATTTCTTTGACCGGTGGCACTGTGGTTCAGCGAATTCGCTTAGCAGATGAAGTAGAAAATCCAGGGATGGCAAGTGGGATGCTAGAAGAAGACTTGATTCAGTATTACCAGTTTTTAGCAGAGAAAGGAGATGTACAAGCACAGGTAAGATTAAGGTCACCTGATGGCATGCAGATGTTGTCAAGAACGACAGGAACAGCTTTATGAAACATGTAAAGATGTTGGAGCTTTAGTTTTCTCTTCCTCCTAAATCAACGTGGTTGCTATTTCCTGATTAGTTTTTATGAGAAGAAGTTTATATTTTAGTGTGTTTAAGGAAGAACTTGGACAGAAAAAGCAATTTTTTCTGGAAGATAAATCCAAAACATTACAACTTTAGTGTCTTAGGAAAGAGGATCCTGGCTTTCTCTAGAAACCAGCCAGACTAGGTTAAAGATAGCTTTAGATGTTGTGGAGGAAGCCTTGATCAGAAGAACTGGCCCTGACTGGGAACCTCAGTTTCTCACTGCTTCTGCTCTATGTGCCTTCTGCATGCTGCAGGCTGGGCCTCTTCTACACACAGTGCAGGAGGGGAGGACACTGATGTAGGCAAACTGTCACAATTCAGCTTTGTCATGTATGACCTAAGAATTAGGTAGGCAGAATTCAAATGAACAACTATTATTTTGTATCTAGGACAGTCAAGTCACTTTTATCTAGGATAAATTTCCACTTGGGCTAATGTGGAGAAACAGGACTGTACTGTAGTTAGTGAAGCAAATCTGTGCCTTCAGACTTTGTGGCATCTTTAACTCTGATAAGGTCTGTCTTTGTGCATGTAGTTAGTTCACTAGTATCTGTATTACTAGAAAAAGGAGTGTCCCCTGGGAAAAGTGACTTATTTGCAATGTAAAATTTATTTTTAGGTTGGCCTTGGACAGTTACACTTGCATGGAGGAAGAGGAGTAGAGCAAAATCATCAGGTACCCTTTCTGTGTCTCTTTGACGCATATTATACTTGATGGAGGGGGAGGAAGCATAGCTGAGACCACACTGAAGCAATAGTATTTAAGTACCACCATAAGGTATTTAGTGACTTCAGTAGTCTTGTTCAATAAAACTTAATGCGTTCAATAAAACTTAATCTTTATGGGACTAGTACATGGAGCTGATTTTCTTACACAATTAAGTTTAATTATCTTAGAAATGAAGAATTCAAAAACAAAGACCAGGTTTTTGACAAGTACTACTTGAAACTGGCTGAGCCTTTGTATACGTAGTAGAACTGTCATGATGCACTGTGTGTGCCTTAGTGATGATAGTCTGGTTTATCACAGAACCTTAGGAGCTGGAAGGGACCTGGAAAGCTCCCCCAGTGCAACCCCTGCCAGAGCAGGATCATCAGAGCAGTCACACAGGAACACGGCCAGGGCTTTGGGTGTCTGCAGAGAAGGAGACTCCACAACCTCTCTTGTGGCTTGCAAGAATATCTTCCTTCTGTAGACCAAACAGTGCAACTGTCAATACTAAAGATATTAAGTGTGCATAGAAACCAGCACTTCTGCTAGTGTAAGCCAACCTAGCTACTGCTTATAGAAGTTAAAGTATGTATTGAAAATTGGAGAGCTGAGGATTGGTTCAGTCTCAGCTATCAACCACAAATTACTGAATGGTGATTGCACTTAAAATACTGCAGAATGACTGCTCTGTAATGGTTCAGAGATGATATTAAGTTAAGAGTGAGTCTACCCAAGCTCTGTGTAACTGGCGTAGGAACTGGCGGATCTCCCCTCTTCTAAACAGGGTTTGGAGGTATAATAAGAAAGTAAGGTTTACCTGTGTAGCTTGTGCATAGCAGCAGTTGTAGTATTTCCTTTTTCCTCTGCTTTTTGGAGTACACTGTTAAAAGGGATTGCTGCTCAGTATTCCCATTTTAAGTGGAGAACTGTGTAATGTATATTTAAAATAAGTGGAATTGATAACTCTTAACCCCAGAAGAACCTGTAACTTGGCAAGCAACCTAGTCACTTCTGCTCCATTTGCAAGAAAGGTACTAAAATCATAGTCCTGGGAGCTAAAATACCTGTTTTCTTCCCTACAGCGAGCATTTGAGTACTTCAATCAAGCAGCTAATGCTGGCAATTCACATGCCATGGCCTTTCTAGGAAAGGTAAGTATGAACACTCTCAAAAGTAAGCGAACTGACTGCCTTTCAGTGAAAAATAACAAGTATTTCCTACTTTCTGATATCAGGCAGTCTAAAACTGAAATAGTGGAAGTACTGTTTGGAAATGTCCTGCAAGATTGAAGTGTCATGGTCTATTATGTCTAGCCTAGATTTTCTGCTTGCTCCTTCACATTAGGAACTTTTGGGGTTTGTTGTGGTTTTCTAACTAGTGCTTGAACTGGAGTTTTTTTAATTAAATAGGTAAATACCTGAATGTCCTTTTTCTGTGGTGGAGTTAAACTCAGAGCAGGCCACTATGCTCTCCCATACGGTGTGTGGGGAAAAGCTGGGCTTCTCCAAATTTTGCCTAGTGGGAAATACAAAGTTTAGGAAGGAAAGAGGAAGGATATCTGTATTCTTATTCTGTGTGGGGATCTGAGGCAGCTGAGCCAGGGTTGCCAATAGGTCTGCATCTACTCTGAACCAAAGCCTGAGTCTATTTGCAAGGTCCGCCACTGTACCAGGTTTCTCAGATTTAAGTCCTTTTTTTTTTTTAACCATGATTGCCAAGCTGCTGCTGGTGATGTTAATGTGCTGCTGCTTAGAAAGGTATTTAGGTCACTTGCCTGAGATCTGGGTTGCGGGATACCTTAACCCTGTGAGGAACTAAATCCTCAGTACTCCGTACTCCCTAAGGTTAGGCAGATAAGCAGCAACTCATCTTTTTCAGGCTGTCATTGCAGCAGAGGATGCCAAATTCCTGTCCTCAGAGCATGAAATAATAGCAATATGTGCTGGTCATAGTACTTGACAAGAGAAATTGCAGGGTCCTGCTTTCTCTACTGCTTGAGTGGTTTGTATCTAATAAAAGCTGAAAGGAACAGGGTTTAGTAAACAATTTTGCGTTGTTTTCAGGAAGTGTTTTAACTGGCAATATAGTTTGTTTTCCACTAGTCTTGCTAGATTTTTGTGTGATTATGTGTTCTTCACTGCACACTGGGAAAACTTAAAAAATGAAGGGTGTTTTCATGCAAACCCTTTTAATTTTATGGGCGGTTCATTCTCCATTAGAAAGTTCCCTCTGAATCTGATTTGTACAGCAGAGAGATGTTTTCTGCTTCTGGGCAAGTTCTTTAATGATTATTCAGTAATGCAACAGAATAGTCTAATAGTACAACAGACTCCCTGTCATATGCACAGTGAAGATGCTTCAAGATCTCCATGCTAAACTGACTTCTTCAGCTGTTCTTCAATAATGCCTTTCTCCTTCAGATGTACTCGGAAGGAAGTGATGTTGTACCTCAAAGCAACGAAACGGCTCTTCAGTATTTCAAGAAAGCTGCTGATATGGTATGATCATCTGTAATCTATACGTACAGCATATGTGCTAAAAAGTTGATTAGCTCAAATGCTGCTTTTTGTGCACTTCCATGTCCATACACCTACTCCCAATGTCTGTCTCAGAGTAGCCCATCATTAAACCCTGCTTGGCTAAGATGTTGGAAACTGCCTCCAGTTCTCATCGTAGTGCTTCGTGAAGCCACGTTCAGCACAAGGAGTCTAATTCTCATGAATGCTGGCATCAGTATGAAATACTGTCCACCTAAATAGCCTGCAGTTCTGTTAAGTGTTAATCTTCATAAATCCTAAGTTGTCTTGTCACAGAAATTTACAGTGCACTGATACGATAATATTTTGGTTTTGTTTTGTGATCAGTGGATAGATAACGGTTTTGGGTTTATACCTTTCATCTCATCAAGAGTGTCTGGTTGGGGCTGTTAATCCCTTGTGCGTGTCTTAGACCTATCCCTTATAGTAGCATTTATACAGCTAAACAGAAAAGATGTTTGGCATGTGAAACACAGTAGATGAGGTTTGAAGAGACTGTTTTAAGATAATTGTATTCCACAATTAGATGCTGTTCTTCACCTCTGTCCTAGAGTAAGGATCTCTCCATTTGCTAATTTCCTGCATTCCCTGAAGGTTTCTGATGTGCCCCATTGCCTGTCCTGGCATTGACAACATACCATGGCACATACATTTGCGAGGGCGCTGGTCAGTGATGCAGCCCACAGGACAGCCACCGATCTGCCCTTAATGTAAAGACAGATTCTCAGAGTTCCTGTAGTTGTTTTGGGAGCTTCTGTAGCATCCAGAGCATCTCAAACTTGGAAGAAACTAAAGATGAACAAGCTGTTAATGCCCCACCTTTCTATGGGTGTGCATTCTACATCTTGTTTGACATTTTGAAAGTGCACAGTAGACTTTCATAACTAGTGTTGAAAGCTTTTTCTTGTCAATCACCTGTGAGGTTACTGACTAAAAGTTACCAAAGATGCTATTTTCTCCCTAATAACTTACTAGGAGCAAAGTTACAAAGCCAATATATCTTAAGCACTATTTAATTTACTGTTGTTAAAGACATAGCTGTGGGTTTTGCCTTTCTTTGCAGCCGTGTTTTCCTGTATTTTCAGGGTAATCCAGTTGGACAGAGTGGATTAGGGATGGCTTACCTCTACGGAAGAGGTGTTCCTGTGGTAAGCTTTTGACAGTCGTCTTTCTAATCATAGGTGATTCTGTAACTTCTTCTTGTCAACAAACAAGACTTAATTTTGAACATTTACACTGAAAACTCCATGAGGAAATTTGTAATACAAAAAAAATTCACTGTGGAGTTAGCAGCTGTGAAATGTGCCGAGTTCTCTCTGGTACGTTGGAAAATGTTGCTGGAGCTATTAGAAATGCAGAGCAGTGTGCGTTTTTAGCAGGAGTTTTGCACTTGGCTCCGATTTTCTTGTGAAATAAAGCAAATCCTAACTGTCCCCATTTAGAGTCTCCTGTGAGAGTGGAGGGACACTTTCAAACTTTTAATTAGTTCATTTGCCTCGTTGCTCTTCCCACGAGAAGGTTTTTGGCCAAATGTTTTATATTTAGCTATGCAAATAGATAATCAGACGTTGAGTTTTCAAAAAAAGAAGTTGACATTCTAAAGTTGAGGAAATAAGTGAAATAACTGCTCTAGAAACAGAGCAAGGCATCCGTTCTGTTAAGCATAACTGTTCATAGAAATGCTGGGTGTGGATGCCAGCTGTGAGATAGCTACAGACTTAAAACATGCGTATGTAATTGTAGGTGATTTCATTCTTTGTTTCCTAATTTTGACCAGGTGAATGTGTTCACGCTAGATCATACTGCTGTAATTTTTCTGTAATACATTG